AAAATTTAGACAAGGAAAAAAAAAAAAAACACTCTCCTCTTTCATGTCCCTAGCTCCCCATTATCTCCCCCTTCATGTCCCCAGCTTTCCGCTCCAGGACCCCATGTCACCTTCCTTCATACTTCCAGCTCCGTCTCCCCCTTCCTGTCCGCAGCAGCTCTATTCGGCACTGGGCAGCAGTTCTGTGTGATGAGGGGGTGGGGATTACACCGCTCCCACTCATTGGCTGCTGCCCGGTTGGATGATGCTTCACGCTGCGCCCGGAACAAGGTGAGGGGAGCAGCGCGAATCATGTAGGGCCCAGGACAGGAGGAAGAGGTCCCGGGACTGGTAATCAGCGGTCACCAGGGGCCGCTTCCTCCTGTCCTGGGCTCCCTCCATGTGGCGGAACTCCAGGGCCCGGTCGCGGCCACGACCTCTGCGACCCTGGTAGTTCCGCCACTGGTGTAAGGGCCATACACATCTCCCAGCCCAGTTTTTAGTATCTTGGGATGCTCTTGCCGCTGTCCCGCCGAGCTCCTGGCTGATCCCTTACACATCTCCTGTCGAGCTCTTAGCGGCATCACTCTCCACTAGCACCCTCTCTTCCCACGGATTGTGCACCATCCAGCAACCCCCCCGCCGTGGTAAAAAGGCTAGGGACACCCCTTAGCACACAGGTTATAACACTTCTGCAGAATTTTTTTCACCAGAGTGCACACGGATTGCTACCATCTGAACATTGTAGTGCTCTGAAGCACCTGTGCATTGCGGTGTGCTGGCTAAGTGCATTGGGGTACCACTCAAAAAGAATGACATCTCAAAGCCCCATGTATCATACTTTACTGTGCATTGCAATAATGCATGCCAAAAGGCATGCTTTGCCTTACGTTAGCGCAATGTATAGGGGCTGTCCCTAACTGAAATGTTCAACAAAAAAGTGAAGTAGTTAAGCAGATGTGAGACAGATGTAGATAGAAGATTTACATTTAAGAAAATACTAACCCAATAATCCTGTTTACTTTATCACTAAAATGATGGAAACTAAAACAAAGTTTCCAAAGAACAAAGGATTGCAAATGTCAATATAAGTAGATCCCAATAAAGGTTCTTTATTGCACAATTCAACTTTCCCATGACCACAAATGTCTATCCTTTACACTACTGCCTCTGAACCATAGCTCTATCAATAAAAGGTTATACGAGGTCTGTTACTTTAATGGTCACATCCCAGAACATGAAGTCAATTATGGATGTTAAAGCCAGTATAGGTTTCCAGAATCATAAATTACCCTACTTCAAATGATGAATATCAATGCTTAGAAATGTAGATTATCTGCTTTTTAAATCATCAATGTGAAGGAACTGAGCCAGGAGAACATGCTGGTACATTGAGGATTGTCTTACCTTCGGCTGAGAGGCCTTGCACATTAACTCCTCGTACTGCCAGAAAGTTCAGACAGATATCAACATTCTCAGTCTGCAACATGAAGACAAATAACAAGTCACTTGGCTTCTCTTCACACAATGTGCCAGGCTGTAATGTATGTTAGAACTGGAATAAATGCTTAACATTTACTGCCTTGGTCATTCTTAGCGGGCACCATAACTGCTAATTGGAAAAATCCAATAAAGCTTTCATTGTCAGCACTAGGACTTGTAAAACAATTCATAATGGTCAAATCTAGAATGGCATGCTGGCAGATCAGCAGTCCACCTACTTAGAATAAAATTGAGTGCCGCTCAGTGCGGGTACTTTATGAAAGCACCCTAAGAGGATTGTGCGCTTCTTAACAGAGATCATGACTCCCTGGCTGAAGGGCTGCACTCAATGCCGTTATATGGGAAGTCTGCCAATGCAAAGTTTATGCTAATGATGTTTACTTCGAGGAACTTCTATGGTGTAAAAATTAATAGCTGTGCTGCCAGTGAACACATAAAAAGCAAAAATATTGATTTCATCTAAAAATCATAACTTACCTTTTGGAAAAAATTAGGGACACTACACAAAGGAGTTAAACCGTAAAAACACATTCAAGTACCTTAACTATTAACAAAAATGCAGCTTATTTGCATGTCGTTGGGCTGTAGATCCTCAAATCATCTCTGAATTGATGCTGACACTATCCTTCCTTCTGGAGGGGGGGCTACTTTTGTTCTCCATGGTCCCTGCGTGTGTTGTAAAGTAGTCACCGCTGAAAACTTACTTGCGTGATGGACTACAATCTTAATACAAATTAGTAAACTAAACATGAGACTGTAGTACATCACAGGAGTGAACTTGGAGCGGTGACTGCTTTACAACACACACAGGGACCATGGGGGACAAAAGTAGCCACCCTCCAGAAGGAAGGACAGTGTCAGCACCAATTCAGAGATGATTTGAGGTTCTACAAGTGAATGATACACAAATAAGCTGAATTTGTGTTAATAGTTAAGGTATATGAATGCATTTTTAAGGTTTACCTCCTGAGTTAAGTGTCACGTTAATAAAAGCACCCACGTTTATAAAAGTAAAAATGTGCATTTATTAATTTTTGCATTGGATATTGCAAAGCATTGCATCTATGATCAGTGGATCGTAGGTGCAATGCACAGGCTCCTACAGACTCCTACAGACTATTCCTGCAGCCCCTGTCTGTAAAGGGATACAAACCTTCAGTTAAGGAGCTGGAGGAAGCTATACATGGACTACAAGCGCGGCGATGCCACCACACTTGAACTCCATTGAGAACTACAACTCCCTTTGCCGTGGTGGCAGATGGGACATGTGTCTACCATTCACAGAGCCCTAAGTGGACTGAAATAAAAGAATTACAGGAGCCTGTGGGGAGGCAGTTTAAGGGTGAGAAGCTGGGGAAAGTGACCATGTTTCATGTTACACCCTAAATATGAGGGTAACATGAAATATGCTCTGAAAGATGAAGTATGCTTTTAAAATCAGTTGTAAACCACACATTACAGTATATACGTTACCGTAATTAATAAAAGGCAGACAAATATGTATTAAAGTGTATCTAAACCCAAGAACAAAAATGTAACATTTTGCAGCTCGCCAATTCTTAGATGTGATAGCTGCATTTGTTTCTTTTTTTCCCTTTATTTTCACCTGGTGATATTGCCAGTCACACGCTTTGTGCCCTAGGGTGAAAACATTCACTCACTGTACTGCATTTTTACCCTGAGACAGGAAGTGTGTTAACACTACAGAACACCTCCTCTTCTACTCATCTCCATAACTTAGCAGGAAAGTATTCTGTGGTTCACAAAGGCGAACTAGGTAGGGCTTAAAACACTGCTTGCTATAACACTGCAGAATGCACAGGAAGTGACACTGATCACTCAACTCACGGCTTCTCCCTGCAGAAAGTGGTGAGTGTCAGTCACCACTGCCTGCAGGGATTCCCCCCAAACCTCTTTTTTTCACCAGCGCTCATTGGAGGGACAGACAGGGGACGGGGGCGGGCACAGCTGGCTCTGGTTCTAGAGAGGCAGAGCCAGCTGTCAATCAGACAGAGGAGTGGATCGCGACAATATTGGAATGTTAGGATCTTTCTCAGCTGCAGTCCGGCTCTCTGACTTTGGGTTACAGGAGTACATTAGTAAAGGTACTCCTGTGACCAAAAAGTTTTAACTTAACCCTAAAACTTGACCTTTAACAATAAACATGACATCAACCCAAATCCTACTCCTAGCTTTAGCCTAATAGTAGCTTAACCCCAAGCACTGAACTCTCTTGACACAAAATGATTTATATGCTGTGGTGTCCTTCAAGTATCTAAGGAGAGATTGTACAATCACCAGTATGTTCTTATACTGCAATACCCCTCTGAGGAGCGGGGATCTCTCTAAAGCTAGCAGGGGTTAGATATCTTTCACCAGGTATACAAATCTTTGCTGCTTTTTAAAGCCAAGCTCATTTCCTGTGGCTCTATGAGAATCCCCCAGTAGGATTTCCTTATTCATACTGAATTAAAAAAAGAGCATTAACCCACGCAGTAAAATCTACCATCAAAAGAACATAGCACAAGTGCTGACAGTTACCAAAGGGTTTCCAAGCAGCATAAATTGCTGTGAGACTTCCACATCAGCGGGTATTCGCTTTGCTGGTTCAACTCAAACTGCGTATATACAAGTCTATTAGCAATAAATCAAACTGCAGCCATGCTTTTGAGCACTGCAAGTGATTGAAATAATGACACTACTACTTAACTCACCACTATAGGCACATGATGAATACATATATTCATTGACACAACAGTGGCTATAGTACGCTGTACAGTATATTGGAGGAAAAGTTAAATCATGGTGTTGATACTCAGGATAGTTTGAATGGCTACTGGACCCTCTGAAGTAGTCACCATGTCTGATAAACTGTCACAAACCTTAATTGGTCATTTTGCTGGTCAGGATAGTGAAAGGAGAACTCCAGGTAAGGGGAGAGAGGCACTATGGACCAGTCGGAGAGCAAGCCAGCTCCTAGGATCAGGTGAGTATAACTATTTTATTTTTGACCCTGGGTAAAGCGACCATTTAACCCTTGCAGTGCAGGGGTAGCCCCACTGCAAAGGTAAAAAGTTTCACCTGGAGTTTTTCTTTAACTGATAACTGGCAATCTGACTAAAACTGGCCATGCACTGTTAGAATTTTGTCCCTGTTGGCTTGACAAACGTTTATTACTCAATTGACTCTTGTTGGAGCCAGGACAAAAATTGTTGGCCGATCAGTGACGGCAGCTAATCAGCATACACATCTTTGATGAAGCCTAGTCATCTATTACTGCCAACCTGAATGCTTTTGAATTATTAAATAAAGCAGTTTTTTTGAAAAAGGCAATTATTAGCCTCTAAAGCTCACTATGTCATAGCTAAGGAAAACATCTTGTCTTGGGCTTACACTAATCAGACCCCTACATTCAACAAGTTTTACATAGCATGGCTTTCTCCCTTTTGTAAAATGCAATATAAAGTATTCCACAACTGCTGAGCTGAGAATGCATTCTTTGTTTGTCTTTTTAGTCCACGCATTCCAGATATCCGCAATATCTGCAGCATGACAAGCATGTTCTAAAATGTTTAAGAGATCCAGTGACCTACTGTAACTTCAAGCATATTTGCACTAAGAATATCTGTCTGCAGCTAAACAGGTGCACTTATGCAATCCTTCTCCACCCATAGATCATGAAGTTTAACATTATATAGCAATTTCATTTCTTGCAATATACAGTTTATGAAGGTATACAGGACTTAAAATTAGAAGGGTGTAGACAGCACAGCACTGTAAATGAACTGCAGAACAAAAGAGTTCCATCCATTCAGATACATTACCTAACTGATAACTGATGGAACCAAAATTCATGCAGCATAAATGCATGATTAAATGCTAAGTTTACCTTTCTGACCGTGTTTCATGTTGCACCTTACTCAGGGTGTAACATGAAACATGGTCAGATCGCAAACCCCTCCACCCCCCTCCCATTTCCCCCTCCCCTTCCCCACTTACCTGAATTGTGGCGATCTTCTCCTTGCAGGCTTGTTTAATTTTTTTGGCATGGCTGTGCAATGCTCCGCTTTCACAGCTGCGTCATCTATTCACAGATCATTTGACAGGACTACAAGTTCTCTCAGCCGCCACAGCAGAGGGATTTGTAGTTCTCAATAGAATACAAGTGCAGTGACATTACCGTAGTTGTAGTCCATTCATTCTTACTCTTAGTCTGCAGGAACCAGAGCATTGTACTAATTGCAACTGCAATGCTTTACTGGCTCCTATGCAAAAAAGAAATTATAATTGCCCTTTTGTTACCTTTTATGAAGAAATGTGTATTATTTAAAGGTGGAATTTCCCTTTAAGCATAGATATTTAGGTCTCCTAAAACCTAAAATGGTATGTGGTATCTATTCTCATATTCTAGTCTGATTTTCCCACCTCTGAAACACTGTACAGCCAGGCATATGGCACTACCATCTCCCAGCTTTCTGTGTCACCTCTCCACCTCGTGCTTGCTCATTGGACAATAAGTCAGCCTCATCACATTAATGGGGAACTGTCCAAAATGCAGGCAGGTCACACAAAAGGCTGTAAATAATGTAGACATCTTCCTGGCTATGCAGTGTGACAGGATGTGTAAATAACTAGCGTGGCTGTGGATATATTTAGCTGTTCTCATATACTAACACTTTAAAGTAGATGTAAATGAAAGACTTATGGTTTTCTCTGGTTTGCTTTGTGCACTGTGCATCAAACAATTTGCTTTTTTTGTAATAAAATATTGTTTTCACCTTTTTCATTAAAAGTGCTGCTGATCTCCTGCAGCCTTTCTGCAATGACTTCATGTTTGCATGCATACCATGATGGCTGCATGGTATTTCTCGGGGTGGATTTCCTGATGGTGACAACAGCAAATTATGCCTGCATAATGTGCGTTAAAAATGTCCACTTGTAGTCTCTATTATAAGCTTCTATGACAGGGTGACAATGCTGGAGAACAACTGGGTGACAGGGACAAGGTGTTGTCACTCCATAAAAGGAAGTGTCTAAATATAGACTTCCATGACAGGATCACCAGGGATTATTTTAATGAAACTGCAGATTTAAAAAAATGGAACATGACTTTTAAAATGACATTAGAGAAGAACTATGGCCTAACCCGTTTTGGCCATAGTTCTCTTCAGGGTCACAGGAGGATATATACTAATGCCTCCGATGACCCAAAACTCGGTATATAGCGGGATATTGCCCGCTATATGCTGAGAGCGCAGAGCTGCGCCGCAGCCGGGAGGGATCCTGACAATACTGTTGATATCCACCCTGCTGCCTGATTGACAGCTGGCTCTGCCTCTCTGGAAGCAAAGCCAGCTGTGTCTGCCCCGTTCCCCGTCCGTTCCTCCAGTCAGCGCTATACAAACGGAGAGTGTGGAATCTCTGCGGGGAGCGGTGACTGTTAGATAAGAGGATCGGGAAGCCAGCGATCGGCGATGTGTTCGCTGACTTCCCGATCAATAGAGCCAACCTGTGACAGCTTCAGTGTCACAGGCCGGCTTGCATTATGGGGATGAGTGTTTTTCACTCACCCCATAATTCTCCTTTAACATTTTAAAGATTATATTACATTTAAGTGATTGGATTTATATACTGCATGCTATATATCAGCAAGATTTTTTAGGGTTGAACATAACTAGAATTATGTATGAGCTATAGAATCAAATTCACATAAACCTAATACAAAAGTGTGTTGATCAAGTTGGAATTTCCCCAGCTGATTTGTGCATACACCCTTTTATTGTAGCTGGCAGCCTGTGAAATAAGTAAATGCCTATAGTTAATATTATATCCTTAATAAAGAAAACATCCTTGGTATGACCCAAGTATGTTCATGTGTGGAAAAAGTAGAATTATGCATTGTGAGAGCCTTCAGTACCAAGTTATTTATTTTTGAAATACAGTTGTTAGGTCACTTGGCATAAATACACATTCCTTTTCCTCTTTAAATAGACTGTGACAAGGACAGTGATCCTAGACTGTAAGGATCTTAGGAGGAGAAAGGCTTCCCTCACAAGGGTTGCATGTGATCAACAAAAAAATGTTTAATCCAATGCATATACAGAGTTCATTACATCATATTTGAACTCTGTATACACAGTAAGGCAATACATTTTGGCGAACTGTATTGGAGTCAATAGTGAAGGTAAAATGAAGGTGGGTTTTGGTGGTTTTTCACTGAGCAAACTCCTTTAAACTATCCTGGACCTATTGTTATGCCAACAAATGGTCCTTCATAAACTAAGAAAATAATGTTAGAAAGTGAGGAACCCTCATGCTAATCCTAACGCTAATCCCAATTCTAATACTAACCTTTTGTTTATCAACAAAGTTGTGTGATCACATCAGCGCTAACAGGGTGATGACATGGTTTGTTGATCAGCAAGGGTCAGGGTTAGCATTAGGGCTAGCTTTAGGGTCAGCATTAGGGTTGGCTATGTTTGTCAACAAAGCCATTGATCACCTTGTTAGTGTTGACACGATGATCAGGGGGCTTTGTTACAAAACAACCAAATTCCACTTGAATAGTCCATATAGCCAAGTTTGAGGCTATTTTCTCAGCATAATCATTTAAACTGAATGGCTCTGCTTATCACTTCCATATTATGATAGCCTTAGAGGGGCCAATCACTTAACCTACCCTATTAGATGTTGCAGTAGCCAAGCTACTAAAGTCAGGCATGGTGATGCACTAATCCTGTGCATACAGCATTGCTATATGTCGTAGATCAATTGACAATGCATACTTAAGAGGACAGGAGGTTTTAGGAAGGTAGTTAGATCTTTCTTCACAGCCACTGTTGGCCATTATAGTATCACCACTAACAAAGAACCCTGCTGTAACCATCAGCTCTGTTAACATTCCGCCTCCCTGCATTATCCCCCAGCACGTACTACCCACCTCTTGTTATATGACAGTTCAAATAAAAACTGTCATGAGACAAACATAGGACCTGCCATTGCTGAACTCATTCTGAAAATGCTTGTTACTGGCATACAGACAAACTGAATTCAGTAGCCCAGAAAATTAATGATATGAGAAAAGTTGGATAAAAGTCAATTATTGTCTGCATACTCAAGGTAAATGAATTTGAGTAATAGCTTCAGCATGACATCCAGCGAAACTAGCATTTTTAGATAGAGACGCCAGAAATTGGAACATTAATCCTTTTCGTGAAAAGCTCCCTTTATAAAACCAGACAAAATTGACAGATTCCCAGTACTAAAATTGTCTGTTATTGCCCATAAATATCCCAACATGCTGTAAATTTTGCATTCAGTCACTAATTATTCCCTTTGCACTAAACAAATAGAACTGAGGCTTGCATTAGGCTTATAATACTACTATTCATTTTACCTTAAAATAATTATCTCCTAAAAATGTTCACTAAACCTGCACATAAACCTGCACATCTATGGCCAGCTATAGAGACAAAAACATATACCTAACCAATTCCAAGTACACATCACATGTAAACACCCCTTAAGGTATAATGCGCTTCTACTACTGACATAAAGGTTCAAATGCCTCATATTTGAAACAGTATGGAAAAACTGTGTGTTGCCCATGGCAACTGAATTTCTTGCTGTATATACTACAATACTGTCAAAAAATAATATGGTTGCTATGGGACACACAAACAATTCTTGCAGACACATTTTATTCATGAAGTGTTAAATACTAGAAACATCTCCATTCATCAAGAACCACAATCCTCCCGTTTTTCAGATATCTTCAATAACAGACATACATGAAGTATGATTTAAGGAATCCCAAAATCCTGGTCCGTATGTGGCCATCAGTAATTGGAGCTAGATGGGTAATGAGCTTGGCTTTAAAGGCTTATCCCTAATTAACATTACAATAATAAATATCTACTGTGTCACTTGATCAGAAGTGCTATCAACTGCTTTGAAAAGTGTCAAACAGAAGAGATAGATAATAAAATTAAATAAAAGTAATAATAGTTATTATGATTGAGAATAATAATAATATTGTTATTATGATTGATAACAATAACAATAATAATAATAATACGTTATTATTGTTAATATGAATGAGAATAAAAAAATAAAACAACATCAGTAATCAATCATTCAAATCATGCTAATGCCTAATCTTTCTGATATATATCTATATATACCCACACATACAATCAGATACAATGAGCAATCTATTTGACTTACCATCTGGGACTGGCTCTTTGGACAGCCATTTATATCTTCAACCTTTTCATTTGCTGAATAGATAAGAAGAGGTGAGTCAGTGAAGGGAGTAATGACACTTCAGTTATTAGTTCAGAGTGTATTCTGTTACCTACAGCACTCTAGTCCCCCATTCAGCAGTCTCCCCTATCAGGCACACCGTAAACATACACCCTCCACAACACTGGAAGTGTGAATGTGATCTACTGCTAATTCTCCTGGCCCTGCCAAGTAACTGCTGACATGAATTCATCCCCGATTGTCTGTGCATGGCCAGGGATAATGTTTCAAGGCATCCCAGAAAAGACTGATTCCCTCAAGCACACAACATGCCCACATGGGAGACATATGGCTTGATCAGGTCTTCCTCTTCTCTGACATTTCAGCATGTGGAGGATACACTGTAAGCCATTGTAAAATAATGGTGAGACAGTTACTTCTCAGTATTTTAATGCTAACGAATTTCCAAACAAACGCTCAGAATAGTCTGAGCTGGGGGAGACATCTGGAATTAGTAAGTGAAGTGCAGACATATTGAAACACACATTGTGTTTAACCTTTTCATGTCTAAAGTCATACAGTCACCCAGCTACTTCACTGAGGCCATCCCTATCCAGCTGAGCATTGAGCACTCACAAGCAGAGAGCTGACACTTACCAATGATCTGAATGATCTCTGCCAGCAGGACACCATCAGCAATATCTTGTTGTAAATCCTTAATCAGCCTCTTGTGACCAGACTTTGCTAGGTAGTGATTTGCCCAGTCTGTGTAAATCTACAAGACAAGGGGAAAAGGGAGGGATAAGGGAGAGAGAAGATAGTAAAAATTATTCAGAAAAGCATTGACTTGAATAGAACTATTCAGAATCACATTCCAACTTGGAAAGTCACAGCTCAGAAGGAAACTGTTATGCTGTTATTATTTAAACAATTTCTTTCCTATTCCCAGCTCTAATGACTCACTTTATTTTCAAGTGAGGGTCGCTGGAGTTCTCTGACCACACAAGAAACACACTCTCACTTCATATCTATCAAGGAAACTGCTGTCACAAATCTATCACTTCTATTTCTCCCTAATGAGTAAGACCAATTGATTTATCAGAGTGAAATGTAAGGGTCTAAAACTGCTTTTTGGAAAGGAAAAGCAAATTTAGATTTCAAAAGTTTAAAGATTTTTTCTTCAATAACATAAACATAAAGATATTTTTTCTTATTTTTGCTCTAAGTATACAAAACTGTTTAGTCTGTCAAAATAACAAATACTGTATATGTAATAATAGTAACAAACACTACATACATTTGTTGCACAGACAACTCTGACATATTACTGTTTACCTTTTGAAGAGTATGTTTTTTGTTGGCTCCGGCAAATTGAATTGCTTGCTGGCTTGTTACACTCATAGGGGCCCCAAAATAAAGGTATCCCCATTTCCTATGCACTGCTCAAACACCCCGCCACCAAATAATTTGTATATTTTTATAAAGAATTAAGCAAGGGTCTGCTAACGTTGTTGGTAAAATGGTGCATGCAAGGAGGGACTCAGCCTTGGCAGGGCTGCAGATCTCCCCACAATGTCCTCCAGGGTTTTAACAAGTCAGGGCATTACTGAAACCTCTGGATTCCACCCAAATACTGTTATGAGCTTCATCCTATATTGTCACTAATGGCTCATCCGTGGTAAATGCATCATGAACTCAAATAAGGGGATTCTCTAAACACACATAGTAATTTGCAGTGTAGAATACCAAAGCCAGGTCAGATACTTATGTTGTGCTTTTTCTGTTTGGTTCTATTTAATGTATATACATTGATAGAGTACATACCAAAATTATAGTTCCCCGGACCCCAGCACATTGTTAACCCCACCCATGGTCTGCGTTATGTTCACCGACTTTCCAAGTGGGTGCGCCCAAATCATTCCAACATTATAGGTTGGTCCTTTTTTTCATCAGTGTGTGTATTACAGAGGCAGGTTACTGTTCACTGTGGCTAGAATATTCTGATTTACAAAATGAGTTGGTTTTAAAGTTTTTTTTTAAAGGGTGTACTGTTTGTATAGTTATTGTTTGTTTATTATATAAAAAAACTTTTGGCATTTGTTGCACAACTTGTTTTAGAAGTGCTTTCTCTCTGTTGTGGCTGTATAAAATAGTTTGTACTTCTTACTCGCACGCCAGAGTGGTACGATCCCCATATGTAAAATTATGCAATCCCCTTTCAAATTTTATAGGAAAGGTTTAAACGATTTTGTATGCACAGTTACGGTGCTGAAATGTTAGACTCCTCATTCTAAATAGTTACATAGTGTACTGTATCTTCAGATATCAGATCTCCAGGAAATACCAAATGCAGCTGTTAGACACAAGATTAAAAACAACACATCATAAGAATCATGGCAGACTCTGATATGTTCACCAGCCTCAAGCTGTGAATGAGGTCACTGACTAACTGTGAGTTGTGGAAGACAGGTTTTAGTTTTTCACTGTTTATGAACTGATATTTTGAAGGTCAGAATACTATTTTCCTTAACCAGTGGGTTGCTGCTATCCTAGGACATCAACCAAACCTAGTAGAATGAATGTTATATCTAAAAAAAAAAGGAGAAAAAAGAATCCATAAGTTGTGCACCTTTATACCTTTTACACCATAGTAATAGTAATGCTTCCTATTTCCCACCTTTCAACTTCATGAGATGAGATAGAGGCACAAGTATATATAGGCAAAGGGAATGCTGTGCATAAAATGACTGATTACATCCACCACTACTTTACCTTTTAACTAGCCTTTCAAAACAATAATTTGGAGGTTGGATGAAAGGTTTAGTGCAGTATAACATGTTTGATAGTTAATAGTGATCTCCGGCATCCATGCCACTCACCTTTAACTAATCTAAAGGTTTTGTTCTTAAAAAACAATCTAGCTAATAGCCATATTATGCTCATGTAATTTTAAATAAAGATTTAGGTCCTGAGTCTCCCTTCTTCTAGACTGCAGAGTGAAAGTAGTGCTGCCAATAGGGAGGTTAAGGCAGTCTTCCCACACTGGGGCACATCTGATCCGCTGGGGGGCCAGGCATAGGTTGCCTGTTTGCCCACTGACCCTGTGCCCCCCCCCTTTTCTCATGCAATGCATGCCTCTATAAGGACAATGTAAACTGCAGACTTCCCAGAAGATACATGATGCGCAGTCCCGGTACCAAATAGACATTCTCTGCTCCCCTTACATAGCATTAGATCATATGGGATTTCCCCACTGTGTCCAGACCCCACTTTAAGCCCACCACAGACAACTCTCAAACTGCTCTATCAGCACCCGTCTGTGCCAGCATGCAGCCCCAGAGCAGAGTACCAGATGCACCAGCCAGCTCAAAGCCTATGTACTGACAAAGGTAAGGGAAAGTCTTGGCAGCCAAAATTTGTAATTTGCCCTGCTCCTGGACATACTAGGGGGGAATTTAATAAAACTGGAGAAGATAGAATCTGGAGCAGCTGTGCATGGCAACCAATCAGCTTCTCTCTTATATTTATGGAGCTTAACTGGTCAGTTACTATGCACAGCTGCTCCAGATTCTATGTGCCCCAAAATTAGTAAATTCTCCCCCCATGTCTTCTCTGCTTTCCTAAAGTGTAAGAGAACAGTGCAGTCGCAGTCTAAATCTCTCCACTGCTTACTCCCCCTCTCCTCCCTCCAAGCATACCTCCATCTCCCTCTGCAATTGACTGGCAGTGTATGAGGGGAATGGAGGGAGCTAAGTGTTGGGAACAGCACAAATACTGGTGCATTATAGAGCAAGATTTTTCTGGGAACTGAAGAAGGTGATATACTCTTCAGTATTTACAGAATGCTATGGGCTTGACCAGAGGGTACCTGTCAGGTGTGCTGTACGGGCCCCTAAGATTTCATGGTTTGCTCAGAGATGATATTTAAATGCTTTTTTAGAGAGGTCTAAAAATCAGATTAAAAAGAGGGACACCGGAGGAGGTAATAGAGGGACAGAAGGAATTGTTCTCACAAAAGTGGCAGTCCCTCCAAATGACTGACAGTTGGGAGCTGTGCTATTTTCTTCTCCCTGCCCCTTGATCGTGGCAGTTCCTTACTAGCGGATTGCCCTTTCTAAAAACATGAAATGGAAAGAATGGAGAGGATGGCTTCAATGGAGCACATAACTAAATAACTACAGTTAATTTTCACTTTGATGTTCCTAAAAGCAAGGTCCAATTCAGTGCATGCAGCTATGAGACCCTGAATGAAAAATCCAACTGAAGTGGGAATGTTAACCAGTACAGGAAACTCCTTTTGACAATATGGTCAAATCTTAGAAGTAAAAGATGGCAAAGACCACTCAGTAATATAATCTGTAATTAACAATATGACATAAGCTGAACAAGACTCTTTAAAAATTCTTAACACTACTGCCAGCTGTTTTGGGTTTTTAGTGTAGCAAAAAAGGAGAGGGACCAATATAACAATCTAAACAAATAGAAGTGGTTTGAGCCATTTCCATTGGGAAGCAAACACACTCAAACTTTAAACAGCAGACATCATGGGGTCCATTATTTAGATTTCTATGTGATATTTGTTTCCAAAAATGATCATTTATATACTTATCTTATTCACTTAACAGAAATGTATAGTGGTTTCATACATATTTATTTTATTCATTATAACAAGACAACAAAAATAAAATATTTAAAATGTATTCTTTCCTTTTAGTCATCTAAAAAGTTATAAAAACAATGCATATGAATATTATATATATATATGTGTGTGTGTGTGTGTGTGTATATGTATATTTTTTTTATACACAGAAATTATGAAATTTACACACTAAAGTGTGTCATCGCAGTGGCTCATCTCGGAGGCAGCTATTTCTAAAAAGGACTCTATACAGTGCTATACAGTGTTCTGATTTAGTGGTACACCTAAAAAAGAACAAAAGTGTCAATCTGGATGGAAGCAGACTGATCCTTTTTTTTGCCTTTTGGGAGTAAAGTGAAACAGCTGATGGAAACCTACACAGGTTACGTTGCACATACAAGCTCTTCATATGAAAGATGATAGATCAAAATTTAAATATTGAATCCCACCATATGTAATGTGCGATCACCATCTTTTTGCAATGTATTTTACAGCCTGCTGATCTAAAGGTCACACAAAGCACAGTGTACATGGGGCCCATGAGACTACAAATGTGCAGGTGTGTTATGTCCTACTGGACAGTACAAAGTGTTACTCATAAAATATAGCGTAAACCAAGGGCATGGTACTGACTGAGTAGAATGTTTTAAATCTATTAGCATAAACTGTGAATATACAAGTCCACAATAAGATTGTACCATGAGGTTAATGTTCCTTGCAGTGCTTTGGCACAACCTATGCAGCACTCAGCAGACTGTTACTTATTCACTTTCAAATGTTAATTTCTGATCTCCCTGGATAGCAAAATCATAACTCAGCATATATAATCTCCTTGTTGAAATCTGGTTCAGACTTATTGCCAAGGCAGTTCTTTTGTATACTTGTAAGGGGTTGTGCAATTTAGTCTTCCTCTGTCTCTCTCTCTCTATTTGGATTTTATATACCTCTTAATTTTAGATAGTAGCAATTATTAAAGAATAAACAGTTTAATGCAGATGGTTTATGTTAACACTTTAACAGATGATAAACCAACAATGACAAGATCCTGACTTGTGCAGAATGTAGCCCTCTAGTGATGAAGTGATAGCCATCCATATGTTCGAATGGAATATTTTATAAGATGTTACTATTCTTTG